AATATACATTTATTATTTATTTTAATTTTATTGTAAATTAAAAGAAAGCATATAACACATTTAAATATATTTGTAAATTACCTTCGATTTCCTGGCATAATTTGCTATACCAATACATGGGGCAGTGTTCGCATGAAAACACGGAATATCGTTCTTTTCTTGGAACTTCGCATGTCCCAACAAACGCTTGTGATATTGCTAAAACAATTCGTGCAACCTTTTAAATTGTTTTGTTTAAAATTTTTTTTTAATGAACTGATATTTTAATGTTTTTTACATTGTGTTAAATCAAATGTACTTGATTAGAAACAATGGAACTTCTATATTTTTAGTTGAATATACAGGGTGTTCTATTAGTGATGGAATCTGCTTTACCGACGAAGTCGACACTGAAAAATGATAAAGAAATTACTTATCATGAAAATTACCAGTATCAAGCTTAATTTCTTACATTAATTACTAAAATATAAAGGAAAAAGAAAGAAAAAAAACGAAATATATATTAATATGAATTTTTTCCTTTGCTGTACCGGTATTATTTTATAAAGCAGATGCCATCAATAAATGACAAAAAATTCGTCTTACCAGCCACAAGATCATCTGCAACGGATTCCGATTGACACTTAAATATATAGCCAATGAAAAAATCCACATTATTCTCTTTGCAAATAAAACCAAAATGCTCTGGATTTTTAATGCCTTGAACACAACTTGCCACATCTCTAAGTTGTTTATGAAGCAATACCTGTTTCCTATCTGGACTAATTAATCTTAAATCATGTCGGCCTACCTGAAATTTAAACTTATATTAAGATACATTTTACAAGTCATCATACAAGTCTCAAATATCATAAATAGAATAAATTTCAAACCTGGAAGAGCATCGTGCGATTATGTTCATCACCCCCTCGTGCAATGGAATCCCTCCTGGTATTCAATACACTACCCGTGGAGGACGCTCGGTTTCGCATAACTTCCGGTACTTGCATAGAATTATTGTTTGTAACATCTCGATTCTCTTCACGTTCATCTTTTTCTGTAAAATTAGCGTTTTGTGGTTTTGGAAACGTTTCTACGGATCCCGTGAGTGTTGATGGTACACCAAGTGAGTTGACCACAGGTATGATACCACTTCCAGAAACATTTTCAATACTTCCAGTTTCGCTAGCACTAGATTCCTGAAACAAGAAAATTTTTTTCGATATTATATATATTATTTATTAATTAATTATTAATTAGAATCAAGAATGAGAGAATCAAATCATACCGTGCTATTTCTTCTATTATTGGAAGACGTTAAAAGTGATTGTCGCTGATACTCGGCGAGAAAATTATTTGCCGATGATTTTGATTTTTCAAGACCATGAACACGAAATCTTACTAATGCATCATCTATAAAGGTCTCCGATACCTTTGGATGTGATACTTTGATTTTTCCCACATAGAGTACCTGAAAATAAATATTTATCAATTTTAATTTTAAAATAAAATTATTATAAAAATTTATAAAATTTTTCTTTGAATTAAAAGGATTATAAATATTCTCTAATTTCTAAAGATCATTATTTTATTATCATTTTCTTTATTATTCATTTGAAGTATTATTTTGAAGTATATTTAGTAATAGTTTTCAGTAATAAGGAAATTAATGATAATAATTAATATACATCTTATTATTATATAACTTCTATTTTTATTACAAATTTTTTTTTAATAAAAATTTTATATTTAAATATAAAAAAAAGAAAAAGTTTAAAAAATCACCTCAAAAAAATGGGAAGAACTGGGAGATATGTCAGCACCTAAGGACATTAGACTGGCTGCACTACTTTGTGATCTTTGAGGCACATCCCTATTTTCAAATCGAGACGAAGCCGAGTGTTCCTTCATGTCTTTTAGGAATTGCTGAAACTGAAAACAAAGAATTATATTGAATTACAATTTTTCATGCGATATATCATTATTGTATTTAAGTTGCAATTTAATCTTTATTATACATTACAATAGATAATAATTATATTCGTAATTAAGTAATTAAATATTCGTAATTAAAAAATCATTTTATTTTAATTTTAAATTAAAAGTTTATCTAATATTAATAATTAATTGAATGAAATAGAAAAATTTAAAAATTAAAAAAAAAATCAAAAGATTTTTTAAATTATTTTCAAGTTTTTACAAAGCTCATAAATTTACAAAATTTTTCAATAATTTAATTATTTTACAACAATCTAATGAATTATCCATCGCCATATAAATACTAACAATATTTTGAAAAGGAAAATTTGTCCCAAAAATAATCCAGAATATAGTATCTTAAGTGCATCATTAATATACAAAACTGATTTCGCAATAAAACGTGAACCAAACGTGGCTGATGACCGTGGACTAAAATAAATTCAACTTCAGACTATTCATCAATCAATGTTTTCTAATCTTTTTCTTTTTCTTTTCAATATTTTTTGTTCTAATTTGCTTATATTTCATTAAATTATGAATTCGTTACTTATTATCTTTATTTTTATCTTTTATTATATTTATTTTTTAAATGTTATATTCATTTATTATATATAATGTTAACCTTAATTTAAACAATTCGATATTCATGATCATTAAGTTATTTCAAATAATAGAATTAAAATAATGCGACTTCTATATAAGATTTGATAGAAGACAACTTTTTTAATTCAAAAATCAGTTACGATATTTCTTAATATTTTATTTCTATTTGTGCAGCAACTTGCATAGTGCTGCTACTACGTACTAAGGTAGAATTTCAAACTAAGATAAATTCTTCGTGCATCGACAAATGTTCATCCAAGCGTTAGCAGTAAGGCTATCTAAGAGTTAGGTTACATTGATTTTCATAAATAATCTCACATATAGCGAGATACACAAATTCTTTTTTCAAATTATAGTGAATGTATAATAATATTATAAATGAATACATACGTGAATATATATGTGAAACATAAAAGGAAAAAGAAAGAGATAGAAAAAAAATGAAAACAAGAAGACATGATATAAATTTCGTAAGAAAATTCGGGAATAGGGAAATAATCCCTAAAATGAGTAACCATAAACATTTCTGATATTAGAGAATGAACAATTAGCAAAATAAAACAATGAACAATTTATTATATAAATCGCGATGTATCGAAAATGATTAACAAACAGAAACGCATCGAATGGACCGATGAAAATGATCAGAAAACAATTTATATCAATGAAAAAAAAATTATCCTAACGGATAGTTATCTCAATGGCCGTGAGAGTCTTCTTGGTTATGACAAAGAATTTCACCAGTATTTAGTTGCTGACACAGAAAGCAGATTGGCATAAAGCAATGGGGCTTCCTTTATCCAATTACTAGACGAGCTTTCTTTTTTATCATCCGGCTGGCTCTTTTTCCTCCTACAAAATATGTACGACTAATACTTGATACTCACTCGATTACAATCTGTACACAAGAATGTATAGATATTGAAATTAACAAGATAATATTTTGTTAAATGCTTTGTTTTTTAATCTTATGAATGAAAGTTGAAAATATGTTTAAAATGAATGGATATATAAATTATACTCTTGTGTGATTATTTTATTAGATAAACTTCTTTTATCATAAATTATTTGGAAATGATAAGAAATAAATAATCATAAAAAAATTACAATAGATGATAAATATAAATCTAGTTACATGAAAAACTATCACAATTGGTAGAATCTATTGAATTGTGATTTAATAGGTCATAAGAAAACTATTATAACTTCTCTTCTTACTTCTCAACTCAATTATACTTAACAAGAAGATCCTTGAATTGGATATAAATAACTTATTTCCTGTCGTCACATGTAAGTATAGTAACTATACAATAAAAATTCTTGCAAAATTATTTTCATCTATTAAATAAGTCTCTGGAAAAAAAAGCTAAGACTATTAAATCTTCAATAATTTCTAATATTTAATTCTTCTTCAATGAATAATTTAAAATTCTAATATAGTTTATTAATCTAATATAATCTAAAGTTATAATCTAAAGTTTAATTTTCTATGTTTCTTATGTTTACTAGCTACAAATACAAATAAAAAAATTTTGAAATTTTCACGAGATCTTTAAGTATTTTTAAATATATTATATCTATTATGTTTCTTCATCTTTTCAGGTTTGAATTTTAATATAAATTTTACATTGTCCAATTGATCATCGTCAATTTCAAAATATATAAATACATGCGATCATCAGAATAAATACAAGTGTACGTCATAATGTTGGTCGATTAAGCGCTTGTGGAAAATTGGATTGAATATCTTCAAGAACGACTCATTGAACTATTTCATCGAGTTGTAATTAAATCGAAACGATATATTTCATACATCTCCTGAACTAAAGATGCCTCATATGATCGACGATCGTGAGAAAAGAGGCGAAGAAATCGTATCTGTCAGTTTTTCAATGTGCTTTATGGCCAAGAATTAATGAGATTCAGTGTACACGCAATCTCGCGTCCGTGAATGAAATTATTATTGATGATGATATACATATTTTTTCTTAATAATAAATATTATTTTTAAAAATTAAAAAAATTTAATTTATTGTATTTTATTATATGTATTTTAATTATATGTATTATTTTTAAATACTTTAGATAAATGATTAATAAATTTTTTATTTTCAGGTTTGAAAATTTACAGAATTTAAATATAAATTTTATATAATTATCAATTTCAAATCTCTCAAAACGATTATAAAGATCAATTTATAAAAATATATTTCGAAGATTTATTTAATAAATTGATCTGATTGCTCAGAATAAATATTTTTTGCGCATGTTCATTCATTATTATAATTATATATTATAATTATTTTTAATTAAAACATGTAAGTATTTTAAAAAGTACATGAAATCGAAATATTAATTTTTTTTCTTTTGTGCTTTTTTTAATTACAGTTTTATTAACTATTAGCTATTGTAAATGATTTATCATTAAGTAAATTTTCTTCAACACAAGCAATTAAATATTAATAATTGATGAATAGACATGTAATGAAAATATAATTGAAATTGTCAATGGCAATAAATGACAACAAATATAGATTTATACAAGTGGAAAATTCATTCAAAATAGTCATTCTAATTAAAAAATTCTACAATATATAATGTAAGAAAACATATATTGTACATGTACTATAAATTATACCACATACATTATTATACATAATAATACCATATATTTTTATAAAAATAATCAAAGTAAATAATTTATTTTTTATTTATTATTTAATTAATTTATTTTTATATATATTATATTAAATATAAATTTTAATTTATATTAATTTTATATTATTATTATATTAATTATTATAATATAATTATATTAATTAATAATATTAATTTTTATAATTTTTTTTAGAACTATATAAATATTTTTATCCTATATACATATATTCAGTATGAAAAGAAACGAGAATTTTTATGCGTGCCATATGTTGACCATAATTAAATCCTAATTGCTGGAGTTCGGTTTTGATGCTGAAAAAAGAAAACTTGGATCATATAAATAGCTATATACATAAGGTCTTTGATCCTAGTTGACACAGTTTCTATTGAAATGTAGAATACATCATGCGTGTCTACGAAAATTTTTAGTGATTAAAATAAAAATCATTGATGCTTAAACATCATATACAACGCATATAAATTTTCATTCATTTAAACTTAAAGTATATATATATAATTTTATGTAAATTTTTCTATTATTAGTAAAAAGACTAATTTCTTTGAATTAATTACATATTTCTTGTTAAATATTTTTTCTTATTCTTTAAGTTGTCAAAAACTATATGGTTATAATTAAACAAACTTAATAATCAAATGTATATTTTGTATCAAAACAAAATACAATAAATGTTTATATTTAATATAAGAGCGCATAAGTATCAAATAAATATAATTAAAATAATAAAAAGATAAATTAGTTCTTCTGAATAAAGAAGAGAGACATATTTAATTTTATTTAATTTATTATTATTAAATTAAAATAATTTATTATTATTAAATTATTTTTAGCTAACAAGACATTTCTTATAAAACAACTATGAAAAGATAGTAACGTAAAGATGCATAGCATACTTCTTGCACGTACTTATATACTATGAAACGGCAATAAAGAGGAAAGAGAAAGAATGCAACGTATCTGCTACGTGACCAAATTAACATTAAGTCCAAAAGAAACAGCTATGTAAGTACTGTCAATCTAACAAGTAACGTGAGTTCCTACACGCAACAAACAAGCAAACTGTTATATCTTATTATTGATAGATATTTTGTTATAGAAACTACTGTAATGAAACTAATTATTTTAACGCTTTAATAAATATGCTTTTTTTTTTAGATTGGATTCATGGACAGGAAATTGATTCGTAACTACGTAAATCAATTGAAACGCCCATTTCTTCTCTTTTTATTATCGTATATTCTTGCGGTTGTCATCAAGAATTCGAAGAACCGCAGCGAATCGTGAAAGCAGACACTGGTACGTGATCGAAATGCCATAACTTTGGCACGAGATCCATGAATACCAGCAAAATTCGTGACGGAACTCGAATACGTTGATCGAACGACTCCTTGCGCTTATCGCACATTTATGAAATTCTGGTTCTTACTGGATATACCTGATCGTATGTTTTTTCAATTAATACGCTCTAATCCTGTATGCTTGTTTATTTGAAACGAAGATGCTTCCAATGATTTTTGCAAAGTATAATTTGTAAATGAATATAGTCTATAAAATGTTGAACTACGAAATGCGAGATATAGAATATGCAAAAGATGAAATAAGATGGAGATTATAGAAGTATTAAGATTGTTTGAAAATTCATACGATTACATAAAATGCACTTTTATTAGATTTCATAATCCTAATTTCAAATCGTGATATTTTTTAAAAGAAAGATTATTTGGTTTCAAATATATATGCAAGTACAAAATGAGATGTGAATATTCAGTAATACTCATAAGCAATAAAGATAAATAATATTTATTTTTTTGTTAATATTGCAATCATAGTATTTTCTATCGGTCATCTTTTCGTTTTTTTAAACTCATCACAAAGGTCTCACGATGCACAAAAAAAAAAAATAAAAGAAAAAAATAGATTAAAATTAATATATAAAAATAATATAAAATAAATTATTAAGAAGTATATTATTAAAAAGTATAAGAATAAAAATAATTTTTTTTAAATCACGTTCAATAATTAATATTTTTTAATTTTGAAGTTAATTTATTTTTTAATATTTTCATAATCGTTAAACTAAATGACAATTAGAATTGCCTATTATTTAATGAAAAGATCTGAATAAAATAAAAATTTCTAAAAAACAAATTTAACATATCAATTATTTATTTGGTAATAATATATTTTTAAATGTTTTTTTGATATATTGATTGTAAATATAATTTCTCTGACAAACTTCAACATTAATTTTGCAAACAAATTTTACCTGATCATTATTTAAATGAATTCAAGAATTCCTAATTGTCCTTAGAAATTCTATTTTTATTTTCTAATCGTACATAACCTATAAATAATCATATTTCTTAATTTTGCTAATTAACAAATATTTGATATTAATAACAATTCAATTGATTAATGTAGTTGTTTGTAAATTCAAATTCAATTATTTCAATATTCCATTTTTCTTTTAATAAATGCTAAATTATAAAAAATTCATATATAAGATAAATAATTTATTGTTCGTATAAAAAAATATAAAGATATAAAAATAATGTGCATAATAATTAACAGGAATAAATCGTATTAAATAAAGTACATCAACATTGATACATTTTAAAATCTAAAAACGAATCAAAATTATTTATCATTAGTTTTTCAAAACATAGAAGTGAATAGTCACTTCTAGTGAGAGGTTCCGATCATGTAATGATCAAAATAATTACATCAAACTTGATTTAGACGCGTTTCACATTTTATGTAACTTTCACCACTTTATAAAATAGAAATGAGAATGCATTGTCTTATGGAAGGTAAAAATATTCTTGTTCTCAAAAAACAACAAGTTTTTGTTTGTTTGATATTTAAGAAATACATATTATAAAAAGATTAAAACGCATTTTTACAAAGAAAAGCAATATTTTTTTATCAAATAATCGGAACACGGTCACTCAACGGATATTGGCAGAGATTCTTCGTTCATTCGTCATTATAAATTTAGATCTACGATATACCGGGTTTCACGAATATAAGCTTCATCGACAATGACTACGCAAATGGAAATGTGTGTGTGAAGGAAAAAACAATTAATAAACTTTTTCTATATGCGATTAAAAAATGAATAAATGATAAAGATAAGAATGAATATTGATTATGAAATGAAAATAATATATGTATATATAAATATATTTATAACAAAATATTAATATTGATTAACGACATGTATTCAATCATCGATATTTGGTGATAATAATAATTTTTAAATATAAAATAAATAAAAAGATATATTCTCTTTTTAGGAATAAATTTTCATTTCATGTATTATTACTAAAATTTCACCAATCATATCAAAAATTTGAAAATGAATTTCATTATGATATACTTTATTATATTCATTATGATTACTTTATTATTTTATTGTTTCTATTGAATATCTGATAAAATTGATATATAATTTTATTTTCTATTGAAATTTTTTGACTATTTTTTAATTAAAATGATCTTTTTTAATAATTTTATTAATTCAAGATAAAATTCAATCATAAACAGTGGATCGTAAATCATGTTGGCATGCCTGTTGAGAAATAGAGCGAATAATGGGCCAAATGTCATATGAGAAGTAACAATTGTCTTAGAATACATGAAGATATAAAAAAAAAAGCTAAAAAAAGTAAAAAAAAAAAGAAAATTAAATATTTTATATATTTTTTTGATGTATTTGTAAAAAAAAAAATTTTTTATAAATAAAATTATTCTATATACATAAACTAAAAAATATAAATTAAAGTATAAATTTGTTAACAGATTTTTTTCGATTTATTCAAAAATATAATACAATTATCAATATTTTTTCAGTCTGTTTTATCAGTCTATCAATAAATATATGATAAATATATAACAAAATATTAAATTTTGTGAAATTTATTTTCTATTTAATATTATATTATTTTATATTATTATATATATTATTTTATATTATTATTTTCTATTTAATAATATGAAATGAAAAAAATAATTTCTTAATTCTTAAGATATATATCTTTCAAAAAAATGTTAAATTCTCTTTTACAATAACTATTTCCTAAAATAATCTTCATTATCTAATATTAATTGTACATTTGATTTTATATTATTATTTTATTTTAAATGGAAATTAATTTCAACGATTCTTATCCTGTCTTATTTTATCAGTCTATCAATAATTGAGTAATTTATGCAAAAAAAAAAAAGAAAAAAAAATAAAACAAAAACAAAAAAAAGAAAAAAAAGCAAATAAAAAATTCATTTGAATAATTTCGAAATAAAAAATTAGATTATGAATAGTTTCTTGATCTACTCACTGCAGGCTTTTTGCCAATAGCGCTTGCATCGCTGTAGGATGTAACCTTCATGTAAGGATTGAAAATAGACATGGGTACAGTGATCATTTTTTCGTCCTTTATTTCTCCACTTTTCTTCCATTCGCCCACCAAGAAACCGAATGCGAGTTTAGTCGTCACGATAGATTATAATATATCACTCGAATAATCGAAATTTTGCCACTTTTTCTCGACCATTTCCAGTAACAAAACTTTTCTCGGAGATCAAGAAAATTCGTTCGATATGAAAAATAATGTTTTTTAAATCGGTTTATTATTCTCTCATTTCACATTATCAGATATATTATAATTTTTCTAATTTATCATTAAAAACTTCATTCATTTACTTATGATGCTTCCTTGAATGCTTGAAATAAATGACAAGAACGATTTTAAAAATTTTTTTCAAACAAAATTCACTATATTGATAACGAATAAGAAATGATTTTTCAATTGAATTTGCAACTACTTTCAAGCATTAGATATTGTTATAATATATATTATTAAATTTAATCTCGAATTTTCTGTAATAAATTTCATAATTTAATTACTTTTCTCAATTCTTTTAGTATTTTCACTAGACTGAAAAACGCAGAAAATTTATTTTTTTTTTTTTATAAAGTTCAGCGAATTGAATTTAAAAAAACGTTTATCATTTTATTTAATACAATTTGATATAGTTTTAATTTGTTTATCAAATGGATTTTGATATCATTCTCAAATATTTCTCAAATATTCTATTAATTCGTTAATCTGTTTTATTTAAAGTTACACACGGATATTTCTGAAAGAAATTACGATGTAACTATCACATCTCAAGCAAGCATAACACTGATTTAATCATGGATTAGCGTGTGAACTTTCCTAGTTCGATCAAAACGACATGTTTTAAGATCACCAGACTTTCGCACACCTTTACCAACAGACGAACAAACATCGACTGAGCGCGACTCAGTACCTAAGGTTTAAAGAAATGAGTGAACCCTCCCTATTGGTTGTCGCATGTCTACAGGTAATGCTAATAGATTATAAAAAACACTAAAAATGATCATCATAATGGATGCCAAGATGGATATTATTTTATTATCAAATATTTGTTCCACTTTGTTTATTCTTTGTACACATTTCATTTCTTATATGTTTATTATCAGAAAATATTATAAGATAATTTATTAAAAACAAAAGATAAAGATAATTTGATATATTTTTTTGATATATTTTTTTATGAAATGATAAAAATTAATTGATTTTTTAAATAATAAAAAATAATTTTTCTATTTATGGAATTTTAATGGAAACAGACAAAAAATCAATTTAGAAATTATTTAATATTTTATTTTTACATTTATTTTCTTGAAATTAGATTTTGTAAATTATATTTATGTAACATAAAATCATAAAATAATTGAAAGACAGAAATACAATTATAATTTCAGAAATTTTTTATTTTTATTTTCTCTGTAAGAAGCAATAATATGTATGTAAATGATGTATATATGTGAAAGGTGTTTAATAATTCATTAATCTTATATCATTATTGTAAGATATTATTATAAGTTTATTAAATCGAGAGTAAAATTATATGAGACAATAATAATTATATCTGTGACTCATTATTTTTCTTTAAAGAAAAGAAGAATCAAATAATTACAAATTAAAAATATGCATTAAATATGATTTCATTTTCACACAACGTATTTTATTTCTATGTTGGATTTCACTTTAATATTTATGTATCTTTCATTCGTAACAATATACAATTTAATTTATGATCAATTAAAGGATATTTAATGAATTCGTCATTTGATATCTACAAAATATTTCTTGTTTTCATGTCAAAGTAATTATTAATATATAAATAATTCTCGATTATATTATATAAATTCTTTATTCTAAAATTTTTACAATGAAATTAGATAAAAATAAATATTTAAAAATTTTTTATGTTTTAATTAATTATTTTCCAAATTTCTTGGAATATATTTTTTATTAATATATATTTATTAATATTATATTTATTAAAAAAAATGAAAAGAATACGATAATATTCATAATATGTAAACAATAATCTCTCATTCTTGTTTAATATATTTGAAATTAAGTTCTTAATTAAGTTTTTAATAATAAATATAATGTTATTTTTATTATGTTTAACAACAAATAATTATAATACATAATTGATTTTAAATATAGAGGAGCAAGATTCTAAAAATAAGACAATTCGAAACGTCGAAACGTCGAAAAATGTAATACGTATAAATACGTATGTGCCTTTTTTAAATATTTATTTCAATTTTTTAGATAGATATTGCACGTATTTGAATATTTATAACATTTTACAAGTTGACTATTCGTAAACAATATAATTTGCAAGTCAAATAACACTCATTCGATCGATGGAATTTTTAATGGTCTTTTAATCAACTATTTTAGAAAATTTCATTTATTTTCGTGAACTATTTTAAATAAAATTTGCGTATTATAGAAAA